GGAGGTCACCGGGCTCGGGCAGCGGGGAGATGACTCCTGCGGAGGGGTTGCTTCCCGCTTCGTGCTGGGGGAGGTCAGCTCTGGCTGAAGGACCCGAGCGCAGACAAGAACTTCGGCCCACGCACTCCACCCCCGTCTGCTGACCACAAATGATAGGATGCCTTTGACTGGAGCTGGCTGGAGGGACGCCTGCGCCCGATCCCGCAGCATGGAGCAGGCTGCTCTGTGTAGTGGCCTTTTTGTCTTGGACTCTTCTGGGTTTTGGGTGTGTTGTGTTTTGGTTTCTTCTTTCCTTGTGTTTTTTTATTGTCTCTGCTAATAGAGAACTTAGAAACTTGATGTCTTGTTCTTCAGCCCCATGCAGGAAGTCTGCATATGATTAAGGCAAACGTCCCCAAGATGCTGCTCTGTCTCCCATATGTACTGTGTTTTGGCTTGCAGCAGTTTTCCCCTTTTCTGCATGGAATTTCTAAATGCAGACTAGACTTGCGATCGGTGTCCAGCAGGAGTCAAGTGTCTCGTACCCGATAGGTGCCTGCAGTCACCGGTCACTGAGCCAGCCCGGGAGGGCACTGTGACACTGAGAAAACCGCGGGCATTCGTGGTGTTCAGAGGCAAGGGTGAAAAATGCCAGCGGCGCGGTGTTCTCCTAAAACCTGAAACTGCCTTTCTGAAGGTTAGCTTGGAAACGGGGGGGTTCAGAGAGCAGGAAGGTTTTTCTGTACACGTTGTTTTTTCCTGTAAGCAGTGAAATGGGGTTGTCCCTGCTGAAGAGTGTGCGAGAATACACGAGAATCCGGGCTGGAACCTGTGGCTGCAGTGCGAAGCCCACAGATGCCTCCAGCGGTGCTGGGCAGGTGACACATCGCTCCAGTTGTGTCCAAAACGTCTCTTGCTGCAGCAGATCGCACCCCAGAGACCTTGCCAAGGCACCTGCAAGCCGGCGTCCCCGTGGGGCTCTGCGGTGGGTGCCGCCAGCCCGTGCTCTGTGCCCGTCCGTGCGTTCCCGGTGGGCGGCGGCGCCATGGGGGGCACGG